AAAAGAACGTCCAAATCTGACTTTGTATGAGGAAGTTGTGATTTTTCTAAGTTACAGATATAGCAGTAGACAGCTAAAAACTCGAAATAGAGATTGAGAGACTTTTGGCCGACACAATCTAAATGAGAATCGAAGGGCTCAACAATACTAGCGCAACGGTAAAAAGTCTGACGAAAACAGACGTCGGATGAAGAAGTTATGGAACTTTAACGGACTTTTCCTGTTCCGACCTATTAAAAATATAATTTTAAAAATAAAGTCAAAACTAGCCGACTGAGTCTAAACAAAAGTTGTAGATCGTAGTCTCACCTTCGCGTAGATATAAAGAACGTCGAAAACGGAGTTCGTATGAGAAAGATATGAATTTTTGAAGTTTGCTAATTAATTAAAATATAAATTTAATTAAAACCCGGTATTATCCGAAGTACGAGTCAGCGGTCCGATCCCTCGTACGTCCAGCGTACCGTCGTACGCCCAGCGTACTCGGATGCTAGGCTCCGGTTCGTCCACATCGCTCCAATGTTTCGACCGAGGATGCGCTCATGCATGACGCATGAGTACGCAGCGCGTACTCTAGTACGCCCCGCGTAACGCAACCTCTCAGACCCCTATAAAAAGGATGCGAGGGTGCCGGCCAAAATTGTTAATTTCCTTCCTTTCTCGCGCCGAAGCTCTGCGTTTCAACCCTCGGAATCATCCCAAATGTCCGGTTTTCATATCCAAGGTGGGAAGAAAGTTTTACGCTCCCGAGACTCTCGAGATTTCCCGAGAATCTCGAGAGATCCGATTTCTCGAGTAGAAGTTCTGCTCGGTTTTCGTCACGCTTTCTTCAATCGATCAAGTGAGTTCATACCCCTTTCAAACACACTTTAAATACATTTTAAATGCTTTTATACTCTTTTAGGGGGGAATACAAGTAAACATACGGTTATTATCGTGTATTTTATAAAGTTTCCCTTCGCTTGTTTTACCGAATAAATCACTTGGAACTCATTACTATTATGGAAAACTCTTGTCATACTTTGTGTGCATTAGACTTATGCAAAGTATATAATGATTTCAAAGTACCTTTCATTGTTATGTCGTTTTATACATTCTAAAAACTTATGATTTATGCTTTGTCAAACATTGTGAAAAAGGATAAACTTTGCATACAAAAACTATCACTTTAATACAGGCTTAGTTGAGAATCCATGAGACGTGTATATCTTCAAACATTACTTTTCTTTATTAGAAAGTAATGCTGCAAGTCTTGTCTATAACCAGAGTCTCCCGTTCGGAGAACGTGTCAAATGTGTATAGATCTATACGGGAAGTCATGATCCCGCGCCCTGACTGTTAGCTACAGTCCGTCCTTTGGGGTGACAGTTGTCATAACGCTGCGACGCCTAAAGAACGTCATTATAGGCGTATTATGTTTAGTATGGTTATAAAACTCATCGGATATACAATTATTATGGTATTATGCTTTTATGAACGAGTAGCTATTAAAAAACTATTCTTAATCTAACAAATGCGATCTTCGTATAGCTTTATTATATAAAACTATGACACAATTTTTAAGAACGTCGGTTTCTTGTGATTTTCGGTCTTAGAGACTGCCAGTTATATTAGGAAAATAAGGGTTTTTCCTGTATACAAACCAAACAACTAATAGGAAAATAAGGGATTTTCCTGGTGCAATTATTTACAACTTATAACACGAACATTCATATGCATTTCATACTTTTATAAGAAAATAAAGGTTTTTCTTGGAAAACACAACAATTCATATCTCAACCATTAGGGAAAATATGGGATTTTCTGGATCTAATACATTCACTTTCAACACAACAAATCACAACTCTTTACATTTGAAATACTGTGTTTTCTGAAAAACATACACGAACTTTCGAATGGCGTACATTTTCTCAAAACACTACTCATGAACTCACCAACTTAATTGTTGACACTTTTTCTTTGAAATAACTTGTATTCTCAGGGAACCGCTAAGCAGATTTGGAAATCAACTTTTGGGGATTAACGTACTGATGTTAATTACTTCTTTTGAAAGATGTTTATGTATTTAACTTTTGAACATGTAACGAATACAATTATGTAAACATTTTGGAAACTTTAATGTATATGGTAGTGTGTACTTTCCTTTCTATGAACTGTTATGATACTGAATATGACGTCCTCCGCCCCCGAACGTTTCCGCCGTTCTGGTTTGGGGGTATGACAATCAACGTAAGTTTGAGTTTATTTTCGCTATTGACATAGCTGTGAAAATTTGTCCACTTTTGTTGATTATAATTGGTAATGGAATTCCTAAGCCATGTCAACAACAGACTGAAACACCAACAAATTAATAGGTTTTCCTTTGGAAGTGTTAATGAGGTTGCTGCTTCAGCACCAATCGAAATAACATGAGTTGTTTACATCTAGTCAATCTCTGGTATGACAATCTCCACTACCTTCAATACCAAATGTAGAAAAAGTTATATATTTAATAAAGACAAAATAATTGAGGATGAATTTTCAAAATTTTATCCTAAATTACAGCCGTAAATTTTTACTAAGTCTTTAATGCTTAAACTTTTTAAAAATTCAATCTTTAGTGATTGACCATATTGAACCTTCTCAAAAGCATAATCACGAAATATGAAATGAAAGTCGATGCTATTATTAAAAATCCATTGATAGTTATAACATGTTCACTTTTTTACCCATTCAATTATTTTCATAATTTTTTTGTTAACAATACCTGATTTGTATTTGTTTTTGTTTGTTGACAAATTTGATGACGTAATGAAATATAAACAAACATCGAATAAAAGATGCACATTGACATTAGAAGGAGAAGAGAACATAAAAGATGTAATTCATGTAGCTTATGTCTTTTCAATATCACCTTGCAACCGAACCCCGTGATTCAGACATTGGTAATAATTAATGCCTTCATCCCTTATCAATCACAAGTTACAAATTAAGACCTTGCAAAATAATATCTTTACTAGCAAGTAAAAATAACCGGTCTCTAAAAAAGATTACAAACATTAATGACATTCTCTTTGTTTTTATATTCACCAGATTTGAACTTTCAAAAATTTGTTGATTAAGAAATGTTAAACAAAAACATGCAAAAAATATCCTTGTATTTTTATTACTTTGTTTATTACGACACCTTACTTTCATTTTTTGCTATCACAATGTTGTATTTAAAATATCCCATTATAACAATGTCCTTTAGATACTAAGAAAAAAAAATGAAAGTATAATGGCATAATAAAAGGAAATGAAAATGCAGTGCTGCAATAAACATATAATCGAAAGTTAGTTGCCATTTGTTACATTTAGCTCCTTTATTTGTGCAAGCACCTAATAAACTTGATATTTGAGTGAGTGGAGTGTTTCATGACTTTGTGGAGCTAATGAAAGGAGAAAAGGCGAGTGCATGAGTTATAATTGATGCAAATCTTGATAAAGAGTATTAGAAGACTTTTATTTATTGCTACTCCATCAAGGATTAAGATTCCCGTGTTTTTTATAAAATATTATCAACGATTTAGGGCAATGTCCCACAATTGTCCAATTTGCCTCAAGGTAAAATTATGCAACCAATTGTTTCAATTTAGAAAACTTTTCTTGATTTTGAGAGTGAAAAGTTTTAATTTGTATTTTTATTTGCAGTTTTTATTTGATGTATTGAATGATCTTACAATTTTACCATATGAACATACAATATATTTGGATTGTGCTGAAGAAATTAAACAATGTCACCACCTTTCTTGTCATGTTTGGTCAATGGGTTTGGAAAGACTCATAGATGAATAAGTCCAAACCATCAATCACAAATTCTATCAAGATTCAACTGAAATATAGATGTGATCGGGACGTATGTATTCTGGAATGGTCATCAACCCTAACCGGGCAACGTTAGTGTCATATTTTGCAAATAGACTTATATTTGACTTTTCAAAACAATCAACAAAGCAATTCGTATTAAATACGCTTTGTTTTGAGTTTTGGATTTGTTGTTTGTTTGATGATTTGTTTTGTAGTGGCAATAATTATAATTTTAGATTTTTAATCCAAATCGAATGAGAAGAAGAGTTTCGAGAGTTTCAAGCAAAATGGGTCAGATCCGTGATTTTCCATTATTTAAATAGCAATGTAATATGAAGTTGTACCTATTTTTTCTGTTTTTTACATTGCCATTTGGTGAGTTTTTCATTTTTAACATTGTAAAGCTATTAAATGATTTACATTAGCTAACAAGTTTTACAACTACTCATATAATAACAAAAAAACAATCAAAAAAATTTTGTGGATAAAAAAATATGTGGATAGTAACAGTAATAATAAGCTACGAAGTAATCTCCAAAACCCGCAATGTCTTTCAAGAACGACGGTCAAACAATAACATCATCTTTAACCTGATGTCTTCCATTGGTTTTCTTTAGTATTAGCAAATCCAACCCCCGCAAAGCGGGATTTCTAATCTAGTTAAATATAAAAAATTATAATTTGAAATTGCCACAATTACCCCCTTTAACTATACTTTTACCCTTTTCATTTTTGTAATTTGGTTTCGATAATTTGCAATTGAACATGAATTTTTATTTTGCTAATAAAATATTAATATTTATTTTGGTAGTCGAATGCTCATGTTTTGATTTTCGGGTATAACATTTGAATCTACATTTGTGAATTCTTGTTATGGAACAAATTCACACCTACTAAACCATTGTTAAAACAGAAAATTGTACATTTACTAATAAACAACGAAGACCTAGAGGTTCCGTGAGTAATTTGCATCATCGCTAATCCGTCGTTGATGATAGCAACAAGTGTTTTTCGACTGACGATTCCGCGTTAATCCGCCGCTATAAAATTTAATGAAATATCATAATCAAATTTATGATACATAGCCCCTTACATATGCCAATCTTTGCAAGTGCAACCAAGAAACATTATTAATGTCGAGTAAATATTCAAATACATGAAATTACAATATTCCATGCATAAAACCATGGGACACGATTTTTGATAATGTACCCCAATTAATAAGTTCCTAGTTGAATTCAGAAAAACATATAAATGTATTAAGATATGTAATGTAGGTTCATCTCACTTGGAAGTTCAATGTCCTTAAACAGAAGACATAGATGCCAACAAACAATACACAAAAACCAACAAGAACCACAGCAACCGGACCCATGAAATCTAATCTATAACCATAATAGTCTTGGATATACAAATTTATGGGCTGATCATATGACATCCCAGGCACCTTGATCGTTTTCTCAACATCATGGTATTGTGAAACAATGAACCCATAAGCAGTCCAAGCCAGTGGACACATCCAATAATACCACACCCACCACTTTGGAATTCTCTGAAATTCACCAATAGGTATAGTACTTTAGCCTCTAGATGAATAAATCATTACAATCAATAATCATGGAAAATGACTTACAGGTCTAGGGATGTAAAACCCCGAAAAGAAATTAAAGACCGAGTAAAATGAAGCTGCCAATATGGCTGCCAGTTGCTCGTTTGGTGTGATGGAAACAGTCATGAGTCCGTAGTATGTAAAATAGAGGAATGAAAAGAAGTTGATGAAAAACGACCAAAGAAATTTCGATGCTGTCCATTGAAACGACACCATGGAATACACTATTATTGTGTAATAGGCAGCTTCAATAAATACGTATGGTATCTCTACAAACACCTGAATATGTATCTCCGTTTGTTAAAACTTAAAATGATTGGTTTGTTATTTCGTGAATATTTATTGAAATTTACACCTGTGCCATGGCATATGGTAATACTGAGTACATTCCAGCTGCTCTTTCTCGATAGAAGACTGTTCTTTCTGTGGCTGCTACTGGTTGCACAGTCTGGCAGTTGTTCATACCAACAAGGAACACACCACCATACATGGCTCCAATGATGGTGTTCAAATTGTTGGTGTTCTCCCTGAAGAAAGAGTTGGAGAAATTAAGAGTGATGAAGATGATCATCATATATAAGTGATGTTATGTTCAAGTGTTTGAGAGTGACCTTATTTCACCAATCTTCCAAAACAATGTTCCAACAATGAGTGCAGCAGCCAATGTGAAGAAGTTGCGAACAAGATTATAATCAGGATTTCTCCAGTAACTCCACCACATCTTCCATATACAAGACTTGAATTGTTCCCATGTAGACTGAGAATATTGTGTTTCAAAATGAAGATCTACTGCTCCAGGAGGGGGTGTAGTTAATTGCATCACTAAATGCTTGTTTCTCCTATTGAGCATAAGAGCATAGACATGATTTTTGTGTTACTTTATAATTATCATTAGAAAAAAACCTTACTGTTGAATGATTGATGATCTGAAGTACTCAGCAAAATCCATATTGAGTCGGATCTCTGCAGCATTAGAACTGACTTCCAACATCCATGTTGCAGGATTGTATTTTTCTGGAATCTTTGAGACCCCAGGAATTTCCTGTTCGCATTATATATATGTGACTAGTTAATCACTTACGCATATGTCAATATTAATTAAGGATCGATTGTCTAGGTTTTAAAAATATGCATGTCATATATATATACCTCAAAATATTCTACAATGTTTTGAGAATTCCTGCCAAGTGGTCCTGCATAGATAACTTGTCCTCCTCTTTTCATCAGCAACAACTCATCAAAGGATTCAAATATATCGATGCTAGGCTGATGAATGGTGCATACAACAGTTCTCCCTGTTTCCACGGTGTTTCTCACAGCTCTCATAACAATGGCAGCTGCTCTTGCATCAAGTCCGGAAGTCGGTTCATCCATGAAAATAATTGAAGGATTTGCAACAAGTTCTACTGCAATTGTTAGCCTCTTTCTTTGTTCAGTTGATAATCCACTAACTCCTGGAAGCCCAACTATTGCATCCTTGAGGTTGCCTAGTTCTATTAGTTCTAACACTTCATGGACAAAAATCTGAAAGACACAAAATAGGAGAAAATTAGATCTCTAGCCTTCTTCTTATCTTGTTTGACAAAAATTTGAATGCATTCTCTTTCCCACTCCCTCACCATCTTATCTTTATTTCCCACTTCTTTTGGTAATCGAAGGAAAGCCGAGTAAATCAAGGATTCATGAACAGTTATTTGTGGAGAGTGGATATCGGTTTGCTCACAATATCCAGAAATTCTAGCAAAAGTTTCTTGTTTCTTTGGAAATCCTGATATTCTTATATCTCCTTCAATATAACCACCTGTTTTTCTTCCTGCTAAAACATCCATTAATGTCGTTTTACCAGCTCCACTTACTCCCATTAAAGCAGTTAGGACTCCAGGCCTAAAAGCACCAGTTACTTCACTAAGTAACTGCAACCTATTTTCTGTTACCCCTTCTTCTCTCATTTCCTGTTTCAACAATAACCGTTGGATTTGTAATAAACTTTGTTTTACGATTCTTATTAAGTTTTGAATTGGAATTCATATCGACAACAAGTTAAAGAACATGAGAATTTAATTACTTGGGGCATATCAACAAAATAGTTGATGCCATCAAATGACATGGCAAGTGGAGTAAATGGTAAAATCATTCCCTTTCTACTAACACCCCCATTAGAATCATAAGAGTTGGATCCACTTTGTCCGAGTTGCATTTCAATAATTCCTTTTACAGAAGACATACATTGTGTTAGTAATACTGATAAAAGTGTGACTAGGTGAGTGAACTTCAATGTTTTTTTAAACTTGTTTTCTTACTCGAATTGCTTCCATTAGCAACAAATAACGATTGAGGAGTTACATCTTGCTTTGATGCAATCTTTTCAAGTGTTGGTTGTTGGTTACTATTTTGTTGATTCTCCATCCCTAAGGCTGTTTCTTTGGAGATAATTGGTTGTGGTTTTCCAGGGGCTTATAAATTAATATGACAATCAAAGGTTAGTTATAGTTACAAGTTCTTGAAGAACTTAACAATCTTAGGTGGAAACTTACGATCAAAATACATAAGTACAAAAGTGAAGAGAATGTTGAATAGAACAGCAAAACCAAGAAGAGAGGCAACACCAATCCAAAACCAGCTTCTTTGTTTTGGTATATCCATATTTTCTAGTATTGCTATACCCAAGGTAGTTACATTATCCGAACTCTGTGAACAACAAAATATAATGAATACACTTCCTTTTATTATAGTTTTTATGCTTTTAATTAGTTACTTACCATTTTCTTCATCCATCTAGGTGCAAAGAACTCATTCACTGCAAAAGCTTTAAAGCCATATGACAATGGTGATAGCCAATAACTCCATTCCCACATATCAGGAATTTGAGCTTTTGGAATAAGAAAACCACCAAAAAAGAATATGAATAGAAGTACAAGAGTTCCACCCGCATTTGCCATGTTCATTGTCCTACACACTCCAGCAATAAGCCGAAAAAGCCCCCCTGACACATTCTGTATCGTAAACACTACCAGGAAATGCTTGAAAAACCTGTAGTCAATAGTAGGATATATATTTATAGATCTTTTGATTAGAAAACTTATAATGTCACAAATGAAATAGTAATCACACAACAATAAATTAAAATTCCGATACCTGTTAACTTCAGGAGCAAACCCAACACCATAATACACGATAACCATCCATGCAACACTCTCAAACAAAGATATTGGTAATCGAAGCAAGAAGGTTGGAAGTGTGTAAGCCCATGATGGGTGAAAGAGAAGGTCTCTTTGCTTAAAAATTACAGGAAGCCTTATTATGGTGAGGGAAATTTCAGCTAGACCATTAAACATGTTTACGAGTAAGCTTAACAAAAGTGCTCCTATATAGATTGCACCATCTTGTTCATCCCTAGTATGCATTGTAGTTCTAAAAAACAAAGTCATCCCAACGAAAGCTACAATGATAAATTGGACACTCTTGAAAATGTAAATGAATCTGTTTCTCTTTAATAGGAGCCATTCCTTATCCCATGAGGCCTTCAGCATCTCCCTGTTTGACACCAAGTATTTTTTGAAGACTAAAGCTGCTTTATGGCTTTGGGTTTTGTCATATGGGAGTAAAAGCTCATTATTTAACTTCTCACCCACGTGGAAATTCTTGAAGTGTTGAGCAAATTCACAAACTTGGATATATCTGTATGGTTTGGTTCTATCTATCCAATATTGCTCTTGATCCTTCCTAGAGGTAACCTATCATTAATTAAGATAAAATAATGTTGAAAATCTTGTGATTTGATGTTCTATTAACTTAATGGTTGTTTGTATATACCTCTTGCAAGAAATCAGCAGTGCCCTTTCTTTCTGGACACATGAATCCACAACTCGTGAAAAAATCATGAACATGTTCTCGTGGTCCTTGATACACAATTTGTCCCTCGGATATTAGAATGATGTCATCAAATAGATCGAATGTCTCTGGAGCAGGTTGTAGTAGAGACATTAAGATTGTTGAGTCGGTGAGGTGTACAAGTTGTTGCAAGCACTTCACTATCTGAAATGTAGTGGAACTGTCTAGACCGGTTGATATCTCGTCCATAAATAAAGTTTTTGTGGGTCCCACAAGCATCTCTCCTATACAAGGACCAAAACCAAATTTAATATTTTACCAAAGTCGGTGTCCGATATAATTAAACGTAGTGAAATTGTATAGACCAAAAGAGAGGAAAATAACCTGTAGTTAATCGCTTCTTTTGTCCACCAGAGATTCCTCGTAGTATTGCATCACCTACGAAGGTATCACGGCAGATATCCAGGCCCAATATCTAATTTGCATTAATAGACGCATTAATTAATAGACAAAAGAAAATTTGTATTTAGATAAAGTTTTCAACTGTAGTAAATATAAGATCACAAAGGTTCTAGAGTTCGAGAGGATCTATATATCTTACTCTAAGAGTATAGTAAGTAATCAAACTGCTTGCTTCCCCTTCAATGGCAGTTGCCTTCATAAAAAGGTCGACTTCAGCTTCTGGGTGAATCCCTGCTTGCTTCTCTCTTCTTGCAAGCTCCACTAGCATTTCTATATTTCATATTTTGGTTATTAATTAATAATCATATGATATTTTGTTTCAAGTTTTAAAAAAGCATTACCTAACTTCGATCCAACTCCTTGGCACCTTGCTGAGAAATCTAAGGTTTCCTTGACAGTCATTTCTCCAACATGAACATCGTTCTGGCTTATGTAGGCTGATGTCCTTCGAGGTTCAAATTCATTGAGCTTATAACCATTGTAAGTAATGTCTCCTTTAACCTGTTTAATTTATATTTTTGTCCAGTTGATATAGTTGTACACCTCATAGTAAATGTAAATTCTACACTTCATTGGAAGCTTTAATCATATGTTTAATGTTTGTATCGAACATTTAAACACTCTAATGACCTTTAAGCTGTGGTCAAGCTTTCCGGCCATAGCCAACAGTAGTGTGGTCTTTCCAGAAGAAGGGGGGCCCAATAAAAGTGTCATTCTGTAACGTTACAAATCCATTGTTACCCATTAATATAAATTATTATACTATACAAAATTTAACGGATTGTGTATAATTTTATCATTTAATTTCTAAAAGCATTGCGAACTCCAAATGCGTTAATAAATGTCAACTTGTTATTTCTCTATGTTTGGTTTAATCCATTAAATAATAGTATTCAACCTCATTCGATCATTTCCACTAAACTATGGATTGTGAATGTTCTTATAATTGCTCTAGTATGAGTGGGATCCTTAATTGAAATCGCTATGATATACGTACCTTGAAGGTTTGATAATTCCCGATGCATCTTTAAGAATAGTGAGTTTAGTCTTTTTAGATAAACTGATTCCAATATTACCCAAAATTGCTTCGAAAGTGTTTCTGGTGGCGTTTGGAAGTGAGGGAAGTGCTCTATCACCGATATAGCAATCTGCTTCTATGGTCAAATTTTGAAATCGAACTTCTACTGTTGGAAGAACGATGCCAACCCTGAAATATTAAGGGGATTAATTATTTCGTAATCATGTTGATAGATAGTATCAATATATGGCAGGAATTAACCAACATGTCAATAAATTAAATGTAAATAGAATAACAATAAAAATGAAATAGATTATGAAGTACAAGGCTTACTTATCAACACGATCTCTAAACTTTTTCAAGAACATTTCGTTATCTTCTTCAACAACCTTAAATGTCTTGTCGATGAAGTCTTGTTGAGAATGTTGGTCGAGCTCTCGGACATCTAACAGCAACTTATCAGCTGGTGTTTGGTTTTTAAGATCAGCTGGAATATTATAAGACTTGAAGATGGTTGTTCGTATCCGTTTGTAGGTTGGGAGTTTCTCCAAAGCTGCCCAGCGCAACGCCTCTTCGTCTTCCACAGAGTGGTGGCTGCTCCTTCCATGGTGGGTGCTGCCATAACCAATGGAGAACACGTCTTCCATTCTCAAACTGCCAGCTGCCCTACTCAAACTTCTACCTAAACTCCTGATTATGCTATCTCCATTCTCTTCCTCCATCACCCTTATAACTTTCGCAATCCCCAAGTTCTTCGAAGATTGCAGTTATATATGTCTGTTCGGTCGTCTTGTTTGCCATTAATCCAGTTTTATAGACACTGAATCCTGGAATACGGAGATGATTGATTGGACGGAGGATTCAGGAATACGTGGATGATTGGACGTCGTTCGTTCTGGAGAATTAATTTTGTATTAATGGTTTATGCATGCAAGTCGTAGCAATTAATTGAAAAATTAAGTTGCTTTATAAGTGCATGGACACTACCAATCTAGAGTTTCATTTTTTCTCTTTTTCTTTTATTTTTCTTTTATTTTTTTTAATTTAGTTTATCACGTTTCCTTGACTTTTTGTCTACATGGCTATACACTACTAGAAAATATGGTGTTTTCCTACGAAAAATATCTACTGAAAATTTCCGTAACTAATTAGCTACGGATCAGCTACATAATGGGATGCTCTAGTTTAGTAACGGAATAGCTACGGAATAATTTCGGAATAACTATGGAAGCGGGTCCATAGCTATTCCGTAGCTAATTAGCTATGGAATAGCTACGAATTTGCATATGTAGCTATTCCGTAGCTAATTAGCTACGGAATAGCTACATATGCGAATCCGTAGCTATTCCGTAGCTAATTAACTACGGAATAGCTACATATGCAAATTCGTAGCTATTCTGTAGCTAATTAGCTACGAAATGGCTACGAAATGGCTACAAAATACCTAAGGATACTAATTACCTACAGATTAGCTACGGATTTTTCTTATTTTCATTTTTTTCGGGCACCAAACGTCGTTTTTTTCGCTTCGTTTTTTTCACACCTCTACTATACATGATTATCTTTATTTTCACCAACATGTAGCTATTAATATCGTTCATAAAGTTGTGTGCCCTTCGGGATCAAGTGCTCATTTCATAGTTTAACATTGTAATACATATACTTTTCATCAACCTGTGATGAATTATGTTTTTATATGTATATTTATACACATGAATTAGTTATGGTATATGTGTACGTGTATATGTGTATGTATACGTGTTTGTGAGATGTATGTGAACGTATTCATATGCATTATAGTGTTAAACCACTAAACGAGTAATGGATCTCGTATGTGCACACAACTTTATGAATGATACTAATAGCTATAAGTTGGTGAAAATATAGATAATCATTTATAATAAAGGTGTGAAAAAAAAAACGGAGAGAAAAAACGAAGTTTGGTGCCCGAAAAATCAAAAATAAGAAAAATATGTAGCTAATCCATAGCTCATTGTTTAACGTTGTAATGCTTACATATACATTTACACACACATACATATACATAAGCACACACATACATACTTATACATATATATACTAGGTTATAACCCGTGGGCACCACGGATATGAATAATTTAAAAATAATTTTAATTAAACTATAACTTAATTATTAAGAATTGATAATAAAAAACTTTAATAAATAATAAATATATATTTTTTGTCAGTAATATCACAATGACATAATTATTGACTAAAATAAGAAAATGATATTGGTTTGAATATCCAATTGGCATTTTGTATATTTAGATATGTTAGAAAATCATAATTTTGTAGAATGCAATATGATATAAATAACAACAGAAACTGAAATCTATATACATAATAAATATATACAAAGGTCTTATAATAAAACTTGTTTATATACAATATTGAATGTTTTATTTGATAGTCTATCATCCTTATCGAAATACATATCAACAAACACAAGTGGAAGCTTTGTTTCTTATCCAATTATCCCTTTGTGTAACCTTTTGAGGTTGGGCTTTAAGCCTTTGAGTTTGGATCTTTTTCTAAGTAAAGCTTATTTAACATCTGAATAAAACATATTCATTTAGGCTTTTAATGTTTTTTTTTTTATTTCTAGGCATAAAAAGGAAACAAAGCAATAAACTTTGCCTGAATATTCTTGCATTAAGTTTATGTTATTATCATAAAATACAAAATGAAGGCAGAAGAGATAGGTCACCGCGTAAAGTTGATTTGCTTTTCACAAAACAGAACATATACATGACCAGCAAAAAACGCACTAACCAGGACACACCTTTTCTTTTTCTTTTTTTTTATCTTTTTTTTACAATGTTACCCTTTAAATTGATTCAAATAAAAGTCAACCGTTGAAAATAACATACAATTTGTGTGAAATTTGGCCCATGTGTTATTGAAAGATATGAGAAATAGTCCACCTGTTACTAAGTTTACAAAACAACCCTTGTGTTACAAACTTTCAAACATACAATTTTAATTTCAACAAATTACATAATAGCTCCCTATGTTAATGTATTTCATAGTACATTGCTAAAAATTACATAATATCTCCCTATGTTAATCAATGGACAGAATAACCACTAAATTTACAAAACATCCCATGTCTTAATACACGGTTAGAATATTAAAATAATTATGATATTGAGGAAAATGTAATTATTATAAAAAAATTGATATAGTTTTTGTATTACTCGTTGGAACCGTTTGTATAAAACATTGAGAGTGTTTGTGACGAAATTTGTCCAAATTATAAAATTCATTGCAAATATGGTCCAAACTTTTAAAGAAAAAAATTGATTACCATCTAAGATCACTTAATATACACGCGTTATATTCACTATCTATCATTTGTGAAAGTATGTAACATTTGACCATTAAGAAAACCATTTCTAGTGTTAAAAAGGGGGAAATATAGAAAATACATAATAGATTTCTCCATTTTATAGATTGAGCCATTAACTATTTTTAATAATTAAATTAATATGCTTTTTTGTCACATTTTAAAAAAAACATTATTCTTGATTACTTGACTTTGAAAAAGTGAAAACTACATAAACACACAATTTAGTTTCGTGGTTTTGTGGTAAAGAAAAAGAAAATATTAGTACTTGTTGACTTTTTGATGTAGTAGAAACAGACAATCCAAATCTATTATTCTGATTAAGGCAATTCATACATCTTCATATTAAAGGAGTTTTGTTCTAGTTCTTTTAGTCATCGTTTGTTCTAATTATCAAAATGTGTAATCATGAAGGAAAAATGAAAGTATGATCATTGATTGAAAGTGGGCAAGGAACAAAAGTCTCGTCTTTCTATCATTTTTTCTCTTATATAGAATTTAAAAAACAATACGGAAATTGAAGGATAATATGAAAACTACAACTTTAAAAGAATGAAAACAGGATTATCATTAAAAGTGAAAAGAAATAAATGTATCATGATTATCATCTTTCTGTCATTTCTTCTATTAGATGAAATATGAACAATAATATGTTATTTGAACAATAATATGGATAATAAAGTAAAACAAATAGCACCTCCATATTTCAACCAAGTTTCTGATCATCGTTTGCGACTGTTTAAGACCTTCAAACCAAAAACTCCCAACAATTTCATTTGCCTGCGTCTTAAGAACAGGAAATCGGTATCTTATAAGTTTATGACTTATTTCCAGCAATTGGTGATAGGCAAATGCAATCAGCTACTAAAGAAATATTCTAATTATTTCTATAACATCAAACTGGTTCCTTTTTCACACAAACTGTTTTGGTGAATAATGTGCTATCCTAATAAGTGATATTCAAAAATTATTATGGAGAAATGATACCAGACATTGGAAATTGGAAGGAAAAAATAAATGAAAGAAATTGTAAAAAGTTACAAACTTGGCATGAAGTGCATCATTTCTGTTATTCTCTATAGAGTCGTTTTTGCATGGAGTGAAAGAAAGAAGGTTGATGGATTGGATACTCACACATGGAGCCTACTTCATGCTTGATATCTCTGCTCAATAACACAAATGGTGAGATTTATGACAAAATAATATGAAACAAAAAAGGGTAAATCTATTTTCAAAAATCAACTATTACTCAATCACATAAATGACCCTCCTCAACAAAGATAAAACAGATAATGTTTTGGGTTAAATTAAATGTCATTCATACATTCAAAGGATTATTAATGAGCAAGGAGAAAACTCTTGATAGAAATTATGCCAAAAATGGAACTTGTTATATTAATATTAGAACATCCAAAACAACAATTGTTTAGTGTACTTTGAAAATGATAATTAAGGATATTTTAGTCCATCGAATTATAACCAAAACCTTTATTAATTGAGTAAAAATATTGTAACTTTCATTACAAGGAGAAGTAATTTATATGGATTTTAGCAACATTACAGACTCCACAAATTCACTTCATAATATTAACACTAGTATCTTTTCCCATATCAACATTTATTTTATGGTTCCATTTTCATTTGACCAGAGCATTTATGTTGGTGAAAAACCCACTTAAACTCTCTTGTATATGTTGATATAACTTTATTTTATCCATAAATAAATACCGATTAAGAACACATGAGAATATAAAAAACTTGAAAACAATTTAACCTGATCAACTATAACCTTTTTATTAATCAAAACTCATTGTAACAACAATGATGACATCGAGCATTTTTTTATGCTAACATATATAACTAAATGAAACATGAACCCTAAAAGTAATATTCAAATTAAAATGATGGCATCCAACAATTTTTATGCAAACAGATATTTAATAAGCAAAGATATAAATCACAAAAATAGAAAATAAAACCCAAAAAAATTAACATCAAACCTAATATCAATTTGCTTGAATCCTAAAAGTGAACAAAAATCACCTTCACATAATCTGGAGATTGAGTAGAATAAAAATCAGCGACATTATGAAAATTATAATATACAAAATCGCTTGAAGCCATTAAGAAGCGAAACTGAGATACATGTATGGAAGCTGCGATTTTTCGATGGAGGTTGTGATGTTGAAGCAGAGAAGTAGAAAAGTTCATAAGACATCGGATACAGACGAAGGGGGGAGTTTTGAGAGATAGATGTCGAGGCAGAGAAAATCCGGATTCAAAATTGAATCTGATAAGGAAAGGGGAGAAATATCAGGGATTTAAAATTGAATGTGTAACCCATCACCTCAATCAAAGGGATAATAGGTGATTTTGTTTCAATGAGAATCCTATTTTGTAGGATGGCATTAAATTAAATTAAAGACTAAAGATTAACAGTGAAGGAAGTGTATAGGCGGGAATTAGAGGAAAGGTTCTACCACAATATGACACGATGACACGTGGCAATTTAGAGTTGTAGAAAAATATCATGTGGCACCTTAGATAGGTTTTTATTAGGTTTTTATTAGGAAGAGAGATTTCCCATAATCATCATATTTTTTCATTATTTAATTTATACATTAAACGAATATTATTTTAATTGTTTGTTTGTGTGTTAACCACATTTTTAATTTTTTTTTGAATATTATTATTATTGAAAAAAAAATGAAAAAAATAATAATAATAGTGAAATTAAGACTTGAAAATTGAAAAGAAAATAATAATAATAATAATAATAATAATAAGCACACACATATATACGATCATAAAAAAAAACGTTTTAAGACTTGAATATTAATAATAATAATAATAATAATAACAAAGTCGTGAAAAACATTGTTTTTCAAAAATAATTATTAGGTACGATTTTTTTTTTAAGTTTTCAAAACAAATTTTTATAGTTTTAATTAAGGTTGTTATGATCTTAACGATCTCATCTAAGTATATGTTATTTGTATTGTTTACAGATAAGATCAATAATAATAATAATAATAATAATAATAATAATAATAATAATAATAATAATCGGAAAAAAAAAGTGTATAAAATTAATAGGAGACTAACTCAGTAAGGATGTTGCATGCTCGGCCGGATGGTAATTGTGTTGGTTACCTGCTGCAACAATTTTTTATTTTATTTTATTTTATTTGGGGGCCGGTATCTAATTTATATGCCCCTTTTCTCCTCTTTTCTGTCTTCCCCCTTCTCGCATCGTAGCTTACAAGAACCAAAAAAAAAAAAAAAAAAAAAAATGCTACCGGTGGTCGAGGCACTCTTCCCCTTGGTGGCGGCGCCCCTTCCTCCTCCTGCACTTTTTCGACGTCGATGGCACTGCCACTGCCGGTGCTTCTTCCTGCTGCATATTCCCGTCACCGAGCCAAAGGTAAACCCTAGTTTTTTTTTTTGTTTCTTTTTAAAAATTACTTTGTTTTAGGTGTAATTTTGTTGAATGTGAGCTAGTAAGGTTGATTTTTTTGTTGAATATGAGGTTTTAGGATGATTTTTTGTTGTTGAATGTGATGTTTTAGATTGATTTTAGTGTTTAAGATTTGTTAAAATTACTCCATCAATGTTCGCTTTTTTTCACTTCATCCTTATACAAACACAAGAGATTTGTTTATGTATATCATTTGATGATCGTTATCTAACGTCAAAAACCCATAAATGCATAAAAGCCCCTTTGACACACAAATATCAAATCCAATTGACTTTCTTTTTCTTATAGTTTTCTCTTGGTAAATTAATATCAATTCTCGTTTATTAAAAAGAAAGCAAAATATAATTTATATAAATTTTATGTAATTTTCAGAATTGAAGAAATTCGAAAAGAAATAGAATTTGGTATTTAGATAATAAGTTAACGTAAGTAGGAGTTGATATTTAATTTATTAATTAAAAGAAAACTAAATACGAAGAAAGTTAAATTAGATTTATGGTGCGTTTAACTGTGAATGGTAACAAGCAAAACACAAACATACACATCTTTGTATGTGTATCGATGATGAATCTAAAAGAAAAAGCAGAGCCTCGATGGAGTTTAAGAAACATATTCAAAGAGACAAAGAAAGAGTATTTTAGTAATATCATATGAAAGTTTGATTTTTAAATAATGTTTTTAATATTAAATTGATTTAATCATAATTGAAATAGAAGTTTGGATATAAATGTTAATTTTATAGATTTAAAAGGATATATACGTAATTTAAACATTTAATATTAAATGTTTACAAGGATATATATGAAATTTATCCTAAAAAAAATGCTAAGTTAATTTGTTAAATTTGTTAAAAATGTTAGTTAAATGTTTATATATGGATTTTTAGTTAATTTAAAATGCATATTATGATATTGATCATTTGTTGAAATGTTATGTATCGTTAGTCATACATATTAGATTAAATGGGATGTTACACTATTATATTGAAATGTTAGGATTCTAATTAACATTTTTAAATGGAAATGTAGTTTTAGATCAAAATGTTGTTTAATAGAGACTGGATGTACACGAAGAGACTTGATAGTCATCGTTTGTTTAATCCGCAATGGCCACATTATGTCAATTTGTTTTTGAATTTTGCTTACACGAACGCAACAAACATCCAATGTATTATTAGGGAAGGGGTGGAAGTTTTTGAAATTAGATGTCCGTGTGTGAAATGCAAAAATATTTATTACCACCTGAGAGAATCAGTTTTTAACCATCTTATTGCCCGGGGATTCATGAATGGTTATTCACTATGGTATTTACATGGCGAACCGCAACACCGCAGATTCTAGTGGGTCAACAGCAAGACACACTGCAGGTAGTATAGGATTTGACTAGCACCGTAGGAAATTAGTAAGTATCACAATAATAAATTTTATTATTCTTATTTTGTTATAACACTAACTACATTACTTGTACATTGACTTTTATGTAGGAAAAATTGATGGGTAAACCACCCACACAATATGATGTTTTCGTGAAGACGCATGGCACTGTTGAGTCAAAGAAAAAATATTTTGAGGGAAATCATGAAAATATTGAATATTGCTTGCAGACGGCCAAAGAAGCACTAGTAACTTATCTTTATCATTTATGTATATTGATTGTCTCATTTTTGTATATGACAATCATGTTTTTTGTAATTTGTAGGAGGGGTATCTGCAGGGGTTGGTCAACAAATTTGGTGAAAATCCTTCAAATCGTAAGGATGATATAGATGTATGGGAGGAAAGCCAACTTAGAAGAAAAGGAAAGAAGAAGGGTGATATCTATGGGATAGGAGCATCGGATATACATTTTTTGGTTTTAGGGACTCCATCTTCCCAATCCACCCAGTCGGATAGCACGCAACAAGAGGTATGTTGATAATACTAATTAAATTGATAATAAACAAAAATATGTTGCTATTATGGTTAAAAGTTAGGTAGTTCGGTGAGAATATTGATTAAATTGATAATAAACAAAAGTATGTTGCTATTATGGTTAAAGGTTATGTAGTTTGTTGATAATATTGATTAAATTGATAAAAATAAATATATGTTGCTATTATGGTTTAAAAGTTAAGTGTATTGCTATAATTATAAACTAAAATGCATTGTTACAATAAACTAAAATACATTGCTATTATTGTTTAAGTATTGAATTGTGTCACCATTTTTTAGGTTGATAGGCTGCGTGCGCAAGTTTCTGTCATGGAACAACAACAACAACAACAACAAATGAAAGAACAAATGGAGATGGTTATGAGGATGATAAATATGTCTGGAAATCAACCCCGTGGTCCCCCCGATAATCCACCCGAGGACAATTGATAAGTATTTTGGAGCAATTGATAAGTATTTTGGAACAATTGAATTTGTAAACACTTGTATTGTTTGCTTGTTTTGTTATACGTAATTTGTATGGTACTTGAGCTATTTGTATGGTATTTAAGACAATGGAATTGAATGTGTCAAAGTTGGTATTAGGGACATTTTTTGGTGTATTTTGGACAAATTGAATTGATATGGTATTTGACAAAAATGGAAATTTTTAAAATTTTAAAATTTTTTTTTTTTTTTGATAAAATGAAATTACCTACGGACTAGCTACGGAAATCCGTCGCTAAATAGGTCCGTAGGTATTCCGTAGGAAGAAAGTCAATTTTAGTCAAACTTGAGTTTTGTCGTTAATCCGTAGCTATTCCGTAGGAAAATACTTGCGTGGGTAATCCGTAGAAAATCCGTAGCCATGTTATTTCGTAGCTATTCCGTAAGAATATACACCCGTTGGCAATCCGTAGGTATTCCGTAGCAATTACTGGCTGTAGCTATTCCGTAGGTATTATACCTACGGAAATATCTGTAGCTATTCCGTAGGTATTATACCTACGGAAATATCTGTAGCTATTCAGTAACTATTCCTTAGCAATTCCGTAGGTAAAAATTTCCCACGAGCATTTATGCTACAGGGCATTTTCCGTAGCAAATCCGTAGGTATCGCCTTATACCTACCGAATAGCTATGGATTGTGCCGTAACTGTTGCCCTAGTTTTCTAGTAATGATACATTAACTTTTTTTAGACAAAATTGCAAAAATGGTCCCTGTGGTATGCATATTTTTAGGGTTTTAGTCGAAACTCTAACTTTTTTGGTTTCATGGTCGTTTTAAGTTAGTTTCATTGCAGATTTGGTCCCTCGGTAAATTGAAATGACTTTAATACCCTTAGGTATTTATTTTCTATTTCTAAATTCATTTTTTTAAAGTTTTAATAATTATTTATTCATTTTAATAATTAAAAAATGAAAAGGCTCTCTCTCTCTCTCTCTCTCTCTTTCTCTCTCTCTCCTTTACCGGCACACAACACAAACGCTACTACACCCCTTACCATTACCTCTGCCTTTTTAAACTTTCTTCTCCACCCTTAAGAGGCTTATCTCCTGTATAAGTTGAAATAAATAAGAGATCATGACATGTGAAGCAATAAACGAAATGTTAAGGGATTAACCTGTGTGGAGCTCCTCATCCCTACCGGCTACACATTACAGGCAAAGTATTAGGGGAGGTGGAGGTCCTCATGCCTACCACCGCTATCCGATGACTCCTACTTCCATTATTGATGCATCAGCTTTCTGATTTTTCCTTCCAGGTAACTCCTTATTCCATCATCAATTCCTAAAGGGTTTGCTATTATTGGTGTTTTTTGATGCTTAGCTTGAAATAAAATGGCAGAGAAGGAAGCCTTAGATTTCAAAAACTTAGATTGATCTTGAATTTCTGGTACCAAAGCTCATGTCGGCAATGAGATATGACCTATTGTAACGACCCGTTCCCGGTATGTTGATTTATTGGTAATTATAGTGAGTTTTTCAAGAGGGACTCGGCGAATTCTAGCCTGACTCGCCGAGTAGGGTCGCGCCTGAGGGCACGCGTGAGCTGGGGACTCGGCGAGTCCATATCCCTGACTCGGCGAGTCCATCTGTCTGGGTGAAACCCTAAATTCCCCGAGTTGCCCACTATTTAAACCACCTTATAGCCCCCATTCTCGCCTCCCTCACCCTGAGAACGCAGTGATAGAACCCTAATCCTCCCATGAAGAGCTTATATGTGTTTTGGTGCCATTTTGTGAAGGTGTGAAGAAGGAGAAGAAGGAAGAAGCAAGGAGAAGTGTTGTAGTGCAAAGATCCAAGGCCAAATCAGAGTTAATTGAGGTATTTTCGGAGTTCCATCTTGTTATATGCTTTAAACTTCCATTAGAGCTCTCCTAAGAGCTAGTTGATGCTTGTTCCAAGCCTTATTGCATGAATGTCTTAATTAAGTCGAAATAGCTATGGATCTGAATGTTGGGGTGTTGTAGAGCCCAGATCTACTGTCTTTTTGGAGTTATATTGCATGATAACCATAGATCTACCCATTTTGTGCATCTTTTAGCCTTATTTCCCTTATTCATGAGGTTGTACACGTAAAGTTGGAAACTTTACGTGGTAAATCAGCTTATTGGACTCAGATCTATCAATTGTATGCATTGGATTCAAACAAAATCAAGTAAAAATCAGTTGCATGGCGGCAACTCGGCGAGTCGGAAGAACGACTCGACGAGTTGGGTCGCGAGTCCCGAGTTCTTCAGTTTTATCAGTGTCGAGTGGACGAGGTGAGTTAGGAGTGGACTCAGCGAGTTGAGGGTAAACTCAGTGATGGGGGGGACTCGGCGAGTTGTTCATCAACTCGGCGAGTCCAAGGCAATCTTCTTAAAGATCAAGAACAACTCGTCGAGTTTGTTCATCAACTCGGCGAGTCGGATGAAGATTGTCTGAGTTCTTGGATCAAGAGGGTACTCGTCGAGTCGATGCCAGACTCGACGAGTAGCAGTGAGTAAGAGTGAAAAGTGAGAGTGGGACTCGGCGAGTTGGGTGGCCCAACTCGGCGAGTCAGCCCAAAAGATAATTGACTTTGACCGAGGGTAAAAGAGTCATTTTACCCCAAGCGCAGTGTTTAGTATTTGATTGAGTGTGTTTATGGACTTGTAGCCGAGGAGATTCAGGAGCAGCCGCCGTTAGCTTTCCGAGCCACACACTCAGCAGCCAGCTTACGAGGTGAGTTTCCTTCCAGTAGGAACGGGTCTAAGGCCACAATGCCGGCCCGTTCAGTTAGCAGTAGTTTCCGGATTTAGGTCCGATGCAGTAGTTAGTATGTTCGATGCCTTCGTGGCTCGAACAGGATTTATGTGCTATGTTTTATGTGTTAAGTATTATGTGTTCCGGGCCACGGCCCGATGTAGCATGTCGTATATGTGTTATGCTAGTTGATGTGTTATGCTATGCCATGTTCAGCCAGTCAGTTCCGACTTCGTCGATGCAGTTAGTTCCGGACTTCGGTCCGATGCAGGGGACAAGGTCCCAGTCAGTTCCGGACTTCGGTCCGATGCAGTTAGTTCCGGACTTCGGTCCGATGCAGGGGACAAGGTCCCAGTCAGTTCCGGACTTCGGTCCGATGCAGTTAGTTCCGGACTTCGGTCCGATGCAGGGGACAAGGTCCCAGTCAGTTCCGGACTTCGGTCCGATGCAGTTTCCGGGCTTCGGCCCGATGCAGTGGGCAAGGCCCAATATGTGTTTATATGTTATTGTATGGTATGTGGTAGTTTGGGGGAGCTCACTAAGCTTCGTGCTTACAGTTTCAGTTTGGTTTCAGGTACTTCCGCAAGCAAAGGGAAGAGCTCGGGGTGACAGCATCGCACACACCACAGCATAGCTTTTATCCTGGGGATGTCTTTTGATGTTTTGGATTGATGTTGTATGATACAGTTTTCCGCACAATATTTGTTATGTTTTGGGGATACATCGCGTATGTTTTATGTTATGATACTTATATTATGGTTTTGATTATATTGAAAAACGAAAATTTTTGGGTCGTGTTTTTGGGTCGTTTCAAGTTGGTATCAGAGCCCTGGTTTGAGGGATTCGGATACACTTCCGGGTGTATCTGAACTCAAACTAAGGGAAATAAAAGATTTTAGTAAAATAAAAATGTTTTACAAAAAGAATTTTGAAAGCACTTAGAAAGAAAGAATTGTTTTTAACAAGATAGAGGTGTGTGCATGCGGTCAGCCGAGCTCAAGTAAGTACTCCCAAATTACCCATACAAGTTATTTGTTCAGTTTCAGTTTCAGTAGAACAGCATGCTAGTATAGGGCTAAGGATCTAGGAGAATGCCTTATGTGCCTGCTTATGTGTTACAGCTTTATGAGTATTGCATGCTAGAATTGAGTAGACAGCAGTAGGATAGCCTGTTTAGGTTATGCCTGATAGTATGAGCTTAGCATCCTATGCTAGTGCAGTTTCTTGTTATAAGAATAGTTTTGCCTGAGTCTGTTTCCCTTATCCGAATGCTGCTTGCTTCGTGCTTGGTGGGGTTCTGAGTACTGGGAGTTAGCCATTAGGTGAACACGTCACACCACATGTAATCAGGTTTGAATAATCCCAGAGTGCTGGAACTGGCCCTATTGCGCAGCTCTTGTTTGAGTCCAACCGTTGTAGGGACGGATCTTTTACTTGAAGGATTATCTGATCCTCATCACATGTGATGGTGTTTAGGTGGTGGCTAGCTGGCATTATGAGGAGACCTACAGCAGCTGAGGACCAGTCGTGTTGAGCTTGAGGTTTCCCTAGGGCAAGCCTAGGATGAGAGTAGCAGAGAATGGCAGTAGTAGAAGTGACTTGGTGGAGTCAAGGCAGTTCTTGAGGAAAGTACGGATAGATGTGGAAGGTAGTATGGGCCCGTACTACTGAAAGCAGAGGATCCGTACTCGAATCAAGGAAGGCCAAGACAAGACCAGGAAGCTAGTAGTAGTATCATGATCCCTTGAGATATTTCAGTGTTCTGATGTTGTTATGAAATGTTTCAGAATGGTAGTTTTGCGTCCGAGACCAGCAGTCGGCAGCTCAGATGCCGGAGGGGGATCAGGATCGGGATCAGGCCCGGAGGTCGGGCAGATGGATGAGCAGACTAGAGAGTTCCTTTCTTCTGAGGTTACCCGCATCATACTGGAGCAGACTCCTGTGATCTTCGGTTCGATCAAGGAGGGTATTTTAGAGCTGATGGATGAGAGATTGAGTACTTTCCGTGCTGAGATGGCGGCCGTGATGGGGTCGCGCACACTTACGTTCAGGGAGTTCAGGGCATGCGGGGCTCCAGACTATCATGGGGCGCGGGACCCCATAGCGAGTACTAGATGGTTGGCGGATGTGGCCAACGCTTTCCGCACTAGCAGGTGTCCCGAGGGGGACAAGGTCAGATTGGCGTCCTGTCTTCTGAAGGACAGGGCACGGGATTGGTG